GCCATGACAGCCGGGACGATTAAATCTGCCATCCGGTACCTGTCTCAGTTGATTGCCTATGTGGCCATCGGCAGCGACAACCTGGGCCTCCAGGCGTGGCTGCCGCGCATGCCGGTAAGTGCTCTCCACAGCTGGCGTGCCGATTGTGCCGGCTGTCGCACCACCGTCACCGTTCGCTTATGACATGCAATTCCCAGGCCATGGTGGAGCAGCTGGCAGCCTGGCAGCGGCCACTGCAGCGTGCTGACTGTGAGCGACGACGCCACTGTGCTGACTCGGCCGACAGGGGCTTGGAGAAGAGGAAAAAGAAGCAACGCAAGGAGAAGAAGCAGAAGCACCAGAAGAAGGAGAAGGCGGCGTTGACCATTTACGAGCCGCAGTCGCCCCCCCCCCCCCCTCCCCCCAGCTCGTCTCCGTCTTCAGACCGCCTCCCGGGCCTATGGACTGCGGTAAGTGTATCACAATTATGTCTCTTGTTTCGTGCCGCTTATTCTCCGACGACAGCTTTTGCGCACCTCTTTCTGTGTGTGTTTATATGTCGTGTGTTCATTAGCAGGCAACGCAGTGATTTAAACATTGGAAGCATTCATTTAAGCCCGTCATTCATCCTTGCTCGTTTACAGTGCTTGGTTTTTGGTGTTTATCGTTGGAGTGCATGCCTGCCTCACTGATGTCGCATTATGTCATGTTTTCCTGTTGAGTAGTTATCGGTTGTTCTTGGTTTGGGTGTTTTGTTCTTTATTGACGTGTTTGTTAAGCCTGCCCATGTTCCCACGGAGCCGGCTGCCGAAGAACGGCCACCGCTGCCCAGCCTGTGTCTCTCCGACGACTACTCGCCTATGGAGTACGGTAAGCATGCCTGATGATACTATTTCTTTCCATGTTTTAACCGTTTCTGGTAGCAGTACATTGACTTACTATTGTGTGCATGCTCATTGAGGTATGCGTATTGTACGTTGTGGGTGCGTTAGACAATTGGGAAGTTGTCAAAAAAGGAAGGGGTCGTTTGATGCGCTGCTGTTTTCATGTTATAGTCATTGCCCTTAAAATAGTTGCTCTATGTTTTCGACGTTTATTCCGTTTTCCGGTATGCGTCTAGTCAGCCTTTCATTTTGCCAAGACATCCGATGGCCGACACTTATGGCACATGTGATATGTTTTCATCTAAAAGGGTTACTGATCATCCATTGTTGGCTGATATGCTTTTTTTAGTTGCTTCATAAGCGTGCCTATTTGCTCACAGAGCCGGCTGCTGACGAACGGCCGCCGCCGTCCACCTGGTCGCCCCCGTGTTTGACGACTCTCCCATTGAGCACGGTAAACGTGTTCAATGGCGTCATTACTTTAAGTTTGTCCTAGCTGTCTATTGTAGAATTTGACATGCAGTTGTTATTGTCATTATGTATGCATGTTTTTATTGTCCTAGCCGTCTACCATAGAACTTGAGATGCAGTTGTTATCGTCATGTTTATTTCCCGTTTTTATACGAGACTACTCAGCCCTTAATTCTGCCAACAGAGGGAGCTCTGGCCGACAGCCAGACGCCACCGGCGGCGGACGCCGACCCCGACTGGGCGCCGTCCTCGTCCCCCTCGTCGGCATCGACATAACCGGCGCCAGCGGAGAAGGAGGCCTCGGAAGAGGTTGACCGGCCCGGTACGTGTCCAGCTCTCCTCTCTGTGTGTGGCGGCAGACTGGATGTAAATGTGCTTCTGCCGCAGCTGGCATGTCCGTGTGCTTGCCCGTGTCAAACTGATCATTCTGTGTTGCAGCGTGTAAGCCGCGGCAGGGCCGGCCACGCAGCGGCGCTGGGAAGCTCCACAGGCACCCGTGCCGCCTACCGCCGTGCCACGGCACCACGTACGCCATCCTGAAACAGGCACATCAGGATGGTGCACCCGCGGGTAGGCGACGGATTGCATGCTGTGTGCGCTTCTTGCTTGCCTTGCTCGCTTGTGCGTGTCTCTGCCGCCGATGCGTCACACATGTCCACAGCTGTGCTGTCGGCCTTATCTTTCCAGCAGTCTGTTTGTGTTTCAGCTTGCCGCACGCGCGGTAGAGCTGGCTAAACGCCCGCGAGCCGCCGAGGCCCAGTTGCCCTCCGCCAGCGCCCAAGTGCACCCAGGCCCGCTGGCGCTGCCCGCTCGGTGCCACCGACGGGCGGCACCAGTGCCCGGCGGTTGTGGTGAATATATCACGACACAGTTCGGGGTCCACTTCCTGCAGGCAGTCATGAGGTAGGTACCAGCGCCGTTGTTTCTGTCATTGTTTGGGACATGAGCGTTTCATTGTCTCAACATCGCGTGCTGTCGGCTTTTCGGCGTGTTCGGTGTGGCATCGTGAACCGTCCGTCCACAGTTCCAACAAGCGTACGGCAGTGCGGAGCGAGCTGACCCCACGTCATCGAGCAAGCCCGAAAAGCGGCTGGTTGGACTGGAGGCCATCTCGGACCAGTTCGTTACATTCCTGTGTGGGGTCCGGGGTGGCTTTTGCAACCGGAAGAAGGTGCAGCGGCACATGCGGGCGGCAAGTGCCACCGATGCCGGTCTGCTTCCATTTACTTACTGTCATCTGTTGTCACTCGTGTTTCGCGTGTCATCTTGCGTTATTTTCGTACGCCTTGTCCGTGTCATGCAGCGGGGCCCAGAATTGTGCTGGCGGCGAGCTGTCATATACTTGGAGTGCCTAATGCAGGCTCAGTTGCAGCTCCGTCTCCTGCTGCCGCAGCTGCTGCCAGGCGGCCGTGCGGAGCAGCTAATGATGTCTCACATCATGGCGGCCCTCGTCGGCCCCCAGCTGGCCATGGAGGGGCCCGACGGCTGGCTGCAAAGACAGCACAGAGCGCACATGATGACAGCCGGGTTATTTAAATCGGCCATCCGCTGCCTGTCCCAGTTGATCACGTACGTAACACTGGACTGTGACAACTCAGGCCTCCTGGCGTGGCTGCCGCGCATGCCGGTAAGTGCCATCAACAGCTGGCGTACCGACTGTGCAGTCCTACGCGCGACCGTCACCGTTCGCTAATGCCTGGCAATTCACAGGCCATGCTGGAGCGGCTGGCAGCCTGGCAGCGCTCCATGAAGCGTGACGATTGGGAGCGGCGCCGTCACCATGAAGCCCAGGCGGCACGCGTCGTCGGCCTAGAGATCCAGCAGTGCTTCCTGAGGGTGTTATATTGGCCGCCGCTCTGTGGGTGGGAGTAATGTTCATGTATGTCGCTTGTCTCGTGATATATGTGTCAGTACCGTCCGTGTCCCGTCTTAGCCAGCTGCTGTCATTGTTCGGTGCGCATTGTGCTGGCGTGGTCGTTGTTGGGTGACATCGTGTCAGTCTTTCATTTCATCAGCCGTCTTTTGACCGACAGTCCGAGTACGTCACCGCTCTGGCGGAGTGCCCGCCGGTCGGCGAGTTCCCGCCACTGCCGGTCGAGGCCCGCCAAGCGCGTGACGATCTGATGACAGTGCTCATGGTCCTCTGCGGCCGGCCGGCCCAGCCACGTCACTGGCATAGCCGCTCTTTCGGTGCCCGAGGCCAGGGTGAGCAGGCTGGCTGGCCGATGTCTGACTGACTGTGCGCGCCATTCGTTTTGCGTAGACTGTTCTCCTGTATGTCGTGTCTTTTGTCGGAGTGATGGTTTGAACGAGCCACTATGTGTGTAGACACTGTAGACTGTCGACCTCGATGGCAAGAGCGTGGCCTCGTCAAGAATTACAGATTCAGTAAATCGGCCACCTCGACACTTAAGACGGCTGTCAGCAGCGAGGTGGCTGCGGCTGCTCCA